TAAAAGGGACTTTAAATCCAACCCTCTTGACCTGGGCAAGGAACACATTTCACTACATAACTGCACATATTTACCCAAGTTCCACAGTCTGGCCAACCTCAGTACTGGAGCTTGATCTGAGTGATTAGAATAAAGAATTCCAGTACAACTTGTATTAAACTTGGTTTAATATACAGTGACATAAGTCAATATGGATTCCTATGTTCCAGGGTCTCACTAAGACCTGACAACATCCTGACTCCTCCTTCTTCAACAAGTTTTAAACTGGTGACCAGCATTTGTTTCTCAGAGGCTGCAGAGTGCTGATAAAGGGAGCATTGGTGAAGCTGCAGTACAAGAGTTTAAGTGTCTAGTGACAAAGCAGAGGTGCAGTAGGAGCTCTGGTCCAAGCATATTCCATATTAAGCTCAGAGGAAAGCTGAACCCAAACCTGTCAGCCTCAGCTAGACAGAACCTGCAGGCTTTTCTATGAATTAACAAGAGAGAAAAAAAAATACATGGCCTACTAATTGGAATAATCTCTCCTAATTTTCCAACAATTCTTGGGAATGCCAGAAAACCAGAACCAGACAGATCTTAGGCACAGAAGTAGCAGCAAGAAAACAATGACCAGCTGAGTTTTGAGTATCAATAGTAAGAATTTATTTCAGGTAGTTTTTGTTTAGGGCATCCAGTGTTGTCCAACATACCCCCTACATAGTGAATTGTTTCCTTTGCTAGTGTGCTCATGTAGCCTTACCTTCAAGCGTCTGCAGTAGGCCAAAATCAGCACTGTAGCTAAGGAAAGATCAAAAACTTTCCACTTCATTCATTCCCTTATTTTGACATTGCCCTTCTTTTCATTCATTTCACTTTACTACTATCTACAAATACAATGAAACAGAGTTTCTGTTGAACATTCCTTCCACGTACATATCGATTCTGAAAGGAATAGATCCACTTGGTCAGGTCACACACAGTAGGTCTGAACAGCACAATAACTCCTGGCACAACCTCACTGAGATGCTGGGAAATCCCTGCCCCTTCTATCCCCCACACACACACCCTGGCCAAGTTCCCCCTGGAATGCAGTTGCACTGGGGTCAGGCAGCGGGGGAGCTTGGGCCAAAGGCAAATGCAAAATTCCTAGGGAAACCTAAAGACTGTAGCCCTCCCATTTCTACCTGGGACTGATTCCTGTCTGGACTATGGGATTTTCAACCTGATTACAAAATTGTCATATGTGCCTTCCAGACTCGTGTTAAAAATCCAGACAGCCTAAGTTTCACAGCAGGTCCATACAACTATCTAGCAAATATCTTGACACATGTGTTTACCAGTACTTATTCATTTCAAGCATTCAGAAATACCTCAGGTCAAAACATGTGCCCCAGGAGTCCTGTCCTTTGATAACCTGTTATTAATTCTATTCTCATTCCTGGTTACTAGAGAGAGGAGGGGTTTTGTTTCCTTGAAAGACATTGCCCTGAATGTGATGAGGAGAAATGCTGCTGCTGCTGACAACTGCAGGAGAAAATGAAAAGCAGCATCAGTAGGACAGTCTGCCCCCCCGACTGCTTTCTCCTGATAAGAGCATTGACCTGTGACTGATGATTCCTGGGCTCGCTTGCCCCATGGAATCCAGCTGGCTGTCTCTGCTCTAGACATCAGCTGCAGTCACAGTCATCTCATGCAGCACAAAGCAGCGCTGCTCTCTCCCACTGACTGGAGCTGTGAGCTGGGATACCCCTGTGTTACACTGGGCTGCCGTGTCAGCTGGGGTCTAACAAGCAAAGGTGGTACTGTTACAGTACAGGGCTCTCTCCTTCACGTCCTTCCCGTAGAGGTTGTACTTGGTTGCTATGTAGTTGGCAATGGCTCTGGTCTGCACCAGCTTCATCCCGTCGATCTCTACCATTGGCACTTGCTGAAAGAGCAGGGATCCATCTGGGCCAAAGGGAATAACACAAGGAGACGTTCAGTCCCTGAATGGGAACTACCAGCAGGTGTTAGGCAAAGTAGCCACATCTATTACTTTTCATTTAGAATCTGAATCAATCTGACTGGATAAATGATCCCAAGATCATCAAATCCAAGTGTCAAACCAACAAAGCTTAATTCCACCACTAAACCATGTCCCCAAGTGCACATCTACACAGAGTGACACAACCACTTCCTTGGGCTGCCTGTTCCAAGGCTTGACCACCCTTTTGGCAGCAACCTTCCTCATTCTATAAAGGAAGGTGTGGAAAATGCCACCATGCAGCAACCTTTTCTTCTTGACATGTTAATAACTTAATAGCATAGCAGTTAGTACTTGTGGAAATTCCAGATTTGAGGAAACAGCCAAATGCAGAACTTTTATCTGTCACACACTCAGAAATACATGCACTGCATGGCTCTGGCACAGGTGATTTCCATGGAGGTCAACTTGCCCATTCATTTACCTGCAAGTGAGGAAATTTGGCAAATATATCAGGCTTCCACTCTTCTAAATACATGCACTGCATGGCTCTGGCACAGGTGATTTCCATGGAGGTTAAGAGAGACAAGAAGGACTGAAGGATCTGGTCCGGCCAGTTTCTGTCATGTTTTCCTAAAACATCTGGACTTTCTAAGGACTGGCCAACATATAATGTGAATAATAGAGAATATATGAATAAGAATGAATATAAAAGAATAAAAGATCTTTGGGACTATTTTCTTGACTTTACAAATGGCATCTCATCTGTACAGGCATGAACGCGGAACAACAAGTGAGTTCCATGAGATTCCTGCAAGACCCAAATATCACTTGGAGTCAGGCTGGAGCCATGTAATGCTTTTGCATGCAGAAGCCTTGTCTTAGCCCGAAAGAAGCAAAAATACCTCCAGAAAGAGGTATCAGATCAGAGATTTAGGAAGTGTTTTTGCTTTAGGGAATCATATTTCTTGACTCAGAAAACTGATCAGCTATGTCCCTCTTTGTAAGTGTGCATTTAGCTCTCTGCTTGTCTCCCAAAATACTTTTTGAAAGGCAGCCGGTAACAGGGGGACCAAGTCATTATTCCTACAGGACAGCAGGACTGCAAATACTGTCCCTAACTCAGATTGCTTTTGACTGGCCAGGTGAAGAGCACAGAAATGCAATTTGCTTTAAAGGAAACATGATTACCATGTTCAGGGAGACAGAAGCTGAAGCCAGCACAGTGGGTTGTTGCCTTGGGAGGCAGGAATGCAGCAGAGGAACAGGTAAACTCAGAAATCTGGAACTCTGCTCTCATAGGGATCATAAAACAACAACTGTGTAGGCAACCTAAGTTGCTAATGAATTTTAAGATCATCTGATGACAAAAGCCTCTATTGCCATAGGATGGAAGGCCATGGACAGAAGCTGAAGCAAAGGAGAGTCAACCATCTGAACTTCAAGAAAGGCTCTTTGACTGTGTGGGTTGCCCAGAGAAGCTGTGAATTCTCCATCCTTGGAGACACTCAAACCCCAGCTGGACATGGTCCTGGGTAACAGGCTGGAGGGGGCTTGGCTTGAAGAGGGGAGGTGGAGTAGGCAATCTGGAGAGGTCCCTTCTGGCCTCAGCCCTTCTGTGATTCAGTGAAGCTTGAAGCACCTGGGTGGATGATGCCACCTAACAGTGCACACTGCACTGTGCACCTCTGAGACCTCTCCTCGTGCACAATCCAGTGAAGAGATCTTATTTTTAAGGCACCAAGACTTAAGAATTCTTAAGTGTTCTCAGGCAAGTAACTCTAATTCTAATTGATGCCTCTTCCTCTTATTATTATGATTATTGCTGCTGTTATTATCTAAAAGTGAAGGAAACTTACCCTTCTGTAACGTGGTCAGATCCTCCTTTTTTTCCAGGTAAGATTCTTCAAACTGTAGGAAGGAGAGAAGAAAAGTTCTCTGGACAATCCAAGATTTATCTTCTTCCCCATTTAGTTAAAAAAGGCCTAAGGAGATGTGTTTTGGGCAATTTTATTTTTTATAACATAAATAATACTTAAAAGCTCATCGGCAGATTGGCCATCACTGTGACAGAAACCCCTGGATCTTGAAACACACAGATTCCCATGTTCCATCTCTGGTTTATTACCTCTCAGAATCCCTGGATCTTGAAACACACAGATTGCCATGTTCCATCTCTGGTTTAGTATCAGAATCTCTCAGAGGAAAAACAAACTTGTAGTTTAGGACTTTGGAATCTAAGTGAAGGTACTCAGAATTGCAGATGCTTGACCTCTGTGGTCAGAAAATTATCAAGCCATGTTTAGCTGCTTGGGTTTTAAAATTCTTCTCTCTGTAGCTATGGGGGAGAAGCATTTGGGGGCTGCCAGTGGGCTTTGCAAAGGACGAATGGAAGTGTGACAGGAACTCGCCCCTGCTTAGGGTAAGCTCGTGGTCACAGTTGGCTTGCTCAGCAATGCACTAAAGGCAGAGCTTGAAACTGCTGCTCAGTCACACTTTTCAGAAGGAACACTAAAAGCACATATTTGTCACAGGATCTCAGTATCAAAGACCAGAAGCAAACCTCAACCCCAGCTGCTGCCAGGAGCCACCGAATTGTTTCCATCCGGCCTCGTCCATTGAAGTAGTGCAGCTTGGGTTTTCCAGACATGTTTCCCCGTGCTTGATTCCTTAGTATCTGCAATGAAGATAAGTTTGCACAATAATCACTCACAATCCTGGATTCAAATCTCTAAATCACTTTCAAAGTTGTCCTGTTTGAAACCAATAATTTATTGTCCAAGATGTGAATCAATCAATAGAGGAGGTAAAAGATAGAATGTATGGAGAGACTGCCTTGTATCATTCTGCCTTCAAATATTTCTTACATACGCAGAATATGTGAGCAGAACTCTGTACTGAGAGCAATTGGCCCAGACAGAGAACCACTCAATCAAAACCACTTCCATCCAAAGCGTTCTCTTCTGACCAGAAAGCAGAGGGTGCTCTTTGCCTATTTTGGCGTTATCTCAGAATACAGTTTACTGTTTAATCAGATACATGCTATAAACTCAGCAATTGCTCTGCTTTCTCCAGCAGCCATTATGCTCCATTATAACCAGAAAGGAAGGAATTCTTGCCATCAGTCATCCTCTTTTACAACAATATCTGCTTCTGTAATTTCTTTAGACAAACCTCCAAAACATGGAAATTAATTTTGCCTCCGGTAGCATCAGATTTGCCTTTACCACAGGCACAGTCTCAGGGCAATGCTTGCTTGGTCCAGATCCAACTCTGCTGGAACTTCAAGCCACAACAATTTCTGTGCAGAAACTTAAAGCAACAACATTTTCTAGGCAGACTCTCACCCATTCTGCTCAGAACTCCGTGTGCACATCAGTCACAAACACACACAAACAGTGCCCAGCTCTACCAGCCTCACAGCTATTGACACCCTGCCAGCAACAAGGCTGAATCCTTAACAGCAGCAAAAGGAAAATGGCCAAACCACCACCATATTCCCCTTGTAAATAACATGTCAGCTTCTCTACAGTAGGAAGGAGGAGGTGAGAGGAAACACTCCCCACTTGTGAGATCCACCTTTATTTTTCTTAATTCTGCCCACCCCAAAAGCAGCTGATTAAGAATTATCATTTGGTACACATAACCATGTTAGTAAAGAAAGTAGATACACACATTTAATCTATAAAACCCATTCAATGACTGAATTTCAGGTACAACAACTCCCTGTATTTCCAAAATAATAAAACCCACTTACATTGTGCACGGTGTAACTCACTCTAAACTCTCAGCAGTTCTGCCTTGAGATTATATAACTCTGGAGCCCCTCCTACACCAAGTATTGCAAACGATTCTCTGTAAATGAGAAACCACTTTCTCTTAAGCAAACAAAACCCATTATCTCTGCTTTTTTACTTCTCACCTACTGAAAATAAATTCCTGACTCATGCTGACAATGTAGAAATATATGATACATGATGGACCAAGATCATTGGAAATATCTGTGTCAGGACACGGTGGTAATATGCTTCCTATTTGCTAGTTAAAAATAATTACAATGGCTGAAAAGCTAATTCAGATTAAGAAAAATACTGCTATGCCAATCACACTTTTATTCTAATGTCTTCGGATTTTTTACTTTCTACACACTGCCACTTTACATAAATCACATCAATTAATTCAGCTCAAACCTGTCACAAGCTTCCATGCCTTGCTTAGTGTATATTTTATCGCCAGGCACCAGAGTTGGTTTTGAATTTTTTTCTCTAGAAAACATTTTGCGGAATTTGACTCAGTGAGAATACACACCAAAAAGAGCGATGAGAGACAGTGAATGAAGTGTTGTATCAGAGGGCAAACTGCCCTCTGCACTCCTGACTGTACTCTTTGGCCAACTGTATTGATTTCAAAAAGTCAATACAGAATAATCCTCCATGAACCACTCTGCCTATCTAATCTACATGGTTAATATTGTTAATATTGATGTAGGCAGGACCTGCAGTCAAGGTCAACAGACACATGCAAAATTTTGCTGAGTTGCCCTGAACATAGCTGTGAGATGGGATATTCTTCTTTTGTTACACAGGGAGGTTGTATAAATTGCACAAAATAATTGGTTGTCACAGAAGGAGGAGCTTTCTCTTTCAGCTCTTTTCTGGACACCTGCTGCAAGTGTTGTCCAAATGCTTCAGTGAGGCAGGAGGGAAACAGCTCCTGCAGCAACTCTCTTGAATACATGCTTTGCTGCTGAAAAATATTTGTTTATTTCCTTTCTTTGATGACAAAAAATGGTTCCAGTTTTGCATGACATTTCCAGAAATGCATGACATTTCTTATGAAGAAACTGTTGGATTTAGCGAGAGCTACAGAGCCCTGAGTTTGCTCAGCTGAAAACTGCCAGTGCTCTAGCTGTAGCTGGATTCAGGGCATGGACTCTTTCATATACAAACTGGGTTTATTTGGGGTTTAAATAGTATCACAGAATCATGGAATGGTTTGGGTTAAAAGGGACTTTAAATCCAACCCTCTTGACCTGGGCAAGGAACACATTTCACTACATAACTGCACATATTTACCCAAGTTCCACAGTCTGGCCAACCTCAGTACTGGAGCTTGATCTGAGTGATTAGAATAAAGAATTCCAGTACAACTTGTATTAAACTTGGTTTAATATACAGTGACATAAGTCAATATGGATTCCTATGTTCCAGGGTCTCACTAAGACCTGACAACATCCTGACTCCTCCTTCTTCAACAAGTTTTAAACTGGTGACCAGCATTTGTTTCTCAGAGGCTGCAGAGTGCTGATAAAGGGAGCATTGGTGAAGCTGCAGTACAAGAGTTTAAGTGTCTAGTGACAAAGCAGAGGTGCAGTAGGAGCTCTGGTCCAAGCATATTCCATATTAAGCTCAGAGGAAAGCTGAACCCAAACCTGTCAGCCTCAGCTAGACAGAACCTGCAGGCTTTTCTATGAATTAACAAAAGAGAAAAAAAAAAAATACATGGCCTACTAATTGGAATAATCTCTCCTAATTTTCCAACAATTCTTGGGAATGCCAGAAAACCAGAACCAGACAGATCTTAGGCACAGAAGTAGCAGCAAGAAAACAATGACCAGCTGAGTTTTGAGTATCAATAGTAAGAATTTATTTCAGGTAGTTTTTGTTTAGGGCATCCAGTGTTGTCCAACATACCCCCTACATAGTGAATTGTTTCCTTTGCTAGTGTGCTCATGTAGCCTTACCTTCAAGCGTCTGCAGTAGGCCAAAATCAGCACTGTAGCTAAGGAAAGATCAAAAAATTTACACTGCATTCATTCCATTATATTTACATTGCCCTTATTTTCATTAATTTCACTTTGCTACTATCTGCAAATACAATGAAACAGAGTTTCTGTTGCATTAGAGTGCTGCTCAGGAGTAGAAAATTTTCATCACTTTGTCCACAACATCATCATCTGATGGTGGTTTCCTCTGGCTGCCAGGCTGCAGGAATTTCTTAATTGTGGGGATATTGCTTATTCTTGCTTTGAAGCTCTACAAAACAAAACCAAAACATCACAGTGCTTAAGAATCATTGCACCTGTCAGACATTTCAATGTTATCCATGCTCTGAAAGTCCCATTATGGCTTGATGCTGCAGAAGAACCTGTATGCTTCCCCCTCTTATGCTTTTGGGGCTGTAGTGACAGAATGTGGAAATAACAAAGAGTATGTGAGGCCAGCAAAAAGTCCTGAGGACATCTGATTATTTTGCATGTCACTTCTGACCCTCCCACTCTCCCATATTTCTCAGCCACTTGAAATCAGTGGTCCTTTCCTTTCCATTCACCATTCAACTTGCCCATTCATTTACCTGCAAGAGAGGAAATTTGGCAAGTATAGCAGGTTTGAACTCCTCTGCCATTAAAATGACTTCAAGTAATTGAACATCTGCCCTGCTCAGCTGGTTGCCAACCAGAAAGTCTTTTCCATGGTCTTTCAAAATCTGAAAACAGAGAACCAGAAGCAGATAATGTAATTTCTCTCTCTTTTCTCTGTTCTTTTCTCATAAATAATGTGGTATTTCAAAGCAGGGTCACACGCTGCACGGAGTTGTCAGTGAAAGAAGGAAATGCAGTTCAAACACCTGTAGTGCAAACAATGATCTGAAGGCACTGCCATCCAGTCATCATCTATCAGCTCTTTCTGTTCTACATTTCTGTCTGGCAGCTCACTTGTGCTCATCTTGCCCTGGCTGCTGGAGCTGCATTGAAGGCTGAGCTGTATCAGATACAGGAGTAACTGCAATGCCTCTACATAGCCTGTATGGTCCAGGGCCATCTGCACTTCAGGAGGAAACTTGATGTCAAAGCTGGTGCTGTGGTGTCTTTTGCCTGAAACACTCACATTGAAACATGGACATTTGGGGAGCTCTGTGAGTGCTGGGTTTTTGCAGCTGCACATCTCTCCCAGATTTGAAGTGCCTTCTATCCCCTCTGTCTTGTCCTATCTCCACCTTAATCCCAGCACCCCTAAAATCAGAGCATTGACATTCCAGTGGTAGATTCTCTTCAGTTTCCCTCCATAAAACTTGTGTGGATCCAGGATGGAGCTTCAAGATATCAATTGAGCTTGAACCTCTTTGCCACATACCTTCTCA